CTTGTCAAAGTCACTTCAACAAACATCGGTGAGAAAAGGAAAGAAAAAACCTCCACCGGTTATTTCAGCGGGATTTGTTTTTGTGAAATGTTAAATTTAACATCGTTGCACAATATTGTGCTGGTAACAAAGCCATCTCATCGTAGTCATTAAGAGTAATTGGATCAGCCAACTGGCCGTCAACCCAAACATCCCATCGTCCAAAACATAGACCCCAAACTACGTGATGCAACAATATGGCCACAATAATACCCTCACTGAGCAGGCTGGTTTTGGAGTCATGACCGTATAAAGTAAACCGGATATATTATTGGCTGAATGTCACATGGAGCCAAATGTACACGGTACTCTGACCCATCACATCTAACGTTCCTATAGAGCAAACACACCAGCGTTCCTTTAACCTCTGCCTCCCTCAGTACTGGGCTCATGGCCGCTTTCATGACCTGTTGATTTAAATAGAGGCTATTCAATATGCCTGCTGGGATGACACCTTCCTCAATATGAACCGCTGGTAAAAATCTTTTTGGGCCAGTTTGTATCACGTGACTGATCCACCAGAGGTAAATCCACACATGATCCAGGAGCAATTCGGAGATTCATCTTTGAGCTTTACACCATGGCAAGATTCAGAGTGACTCTGGGCCATTTGGGCTGTTCTTGCAGCTAAAACAAAACCATTAAGCAAAACCTCCAAGAAAGTAATCATGTGACTGACAATACGGTTGCAAAGGCGGTTGCATGAAACTGTTAATTGCTGAAGTTTAGTGGGGATAGAACCCCCCCTGGGGGTCAACAGATTTGGGCATACTTTAGCCCTCCTTGTACCTGGCATTGTACCGTTGCTCACTGTAACTATTTGTATCAGTTTGGTGCTGGGTGCGACTCACATTGCGTTCATCAAAGCTTCCTTTCATCAGCACCAGCCCTCTCACTCTCTTGGCGTTCACACAGGACTCTTGTTAAGCTGCCAATAGACTCTGTTAGAAATGCTTGGTTTGTGGAAGAATGTAGGCGCAACAGATCTCCAGAATAAAAAGTAAGTAAGCTGATCTGGTTTCCCCCTCAGGGAAACTCCTATCAGCAGGGAAGGAAGACTCCTCTCTCAGCGGAAGAGATAAACCTTGTTCTCTGTTTATATAGATTTTGACGTTGCCGGCTCAGGAAAACAGCTTTTCCCCTGAAAACAACAACAAAAAAGAGCACAGTTTTTTAGCATTTATGTAACTTTCTAACATAGGCTGATGTCAGTTCCTTAACGGTACTAATCTTGTGAACAAAGTGGCTACTTCCTATAGTCTTACCGTGCAAATGTGAGCATAAGTGTTTTGTATGTCACGAATCTGCATAATTAATTGAATCCAATCCGTGCAGTAACAAGTAGTATAATTGCAATGCCCTCGCAAGATGCATTTGTGATTACTATATGTTAGGTTACCTCCTTACCGGTGTTTAATCAGTGTGTGTTTGTGTGTGTGTGTGTGTGTGTGTGTGTGTGTATGTGTGTGTGTGTGTGTGTGTGTGTGTGTGTGTGTGTGTGTGTGTGTGTGTGTGTGATATGTGTATAGAAGAAGAGAGGATATCAATACTCATCCGCTGAGAAGCCAGTGGTTTGTGAGATTCTACAGCCGTGGTGGGAAGTTAGGGCAGGAATGTGATGTCATTCTAAGAAACGTCTGTGGGTGACATTGACCAGATGTTTCTGGGGTCTTCCGATGCCCTTTACAATGGCTGTAAATGCTGAATCCATATGGAGCTGATGGAAACGCTTCTCCCCCCATGTGGTTACAATCGGTACTGCCACACTTCTTATTGTAACATGTGTACAACGTGTGTGTAGTGGGATAAAATTTGTAAAAAAAAATGATTTCACACAGCATAAAAGAGTTGAACATTTAAGTAAACATTCAAGCATAAATATCCCACATGAGGAGGGACGTGCCCATTTATCCTTTAATTAGTTAAGAAGCGTAAAGCCTGTAATTGGGTGTTTTATGAGAACTTTGAGGTCAAGAATGAAGTTTGAGTCTGTACAATATATTGATTGATTGTTGGAAAGTTAGAGTTAGAGCAAGCGGTTAGCGTAGAGAGGATTCTGCAAAACAATTTCCATTTAGTTCATAGTCAGGAGCTTTTATTCACATCACATGAGCTTTGTCAGGAGATGTTTATACTGTATTTGAATATTCATCCAACTCCCTCTAGCGGGGAAGATCATGTAATATGATTGAGACACTTGTTTAGAACAACTGCTACAGAAACAAGCGCTCGAGGTGGTTTTATTTTGTCAGTTGGAACATTGCGCTCTGATGTAAACCAACGGTGGACCCTCCTTACTGGACAAAGATAAAAGATGTGTTATAACGCTTCTCTGGCTCCTTGAAGTAAACATTACTGATCACTTCCTCTCTCCTTGGCTCATCTGAGCGCTGTGACGTATTTGATGATGTCAGACATTTAGACTCGATTTATCGAGTATTATTGAAACATCAGGCCTTTTATGGAGGAGGCCTGAACTGATGTAATGTCTAGGACTGAGATACTGCCACAGCAGACCCTCAGGCCTCTGTGTCCGTGCCAGCTCCACACAGCTTCAACAATCCCAAACACACATTATGATGAAGCCCTGTTTTCTGCCCGAAAATGCAATCACTCTGCCAGCACACGTCCTGTTGCTTTTTCACAGTTTGCAGACGTCCAAGTCTGCACATCCAGACTCGGGAATGACATAAACACTTGTCCTGAGGCACGTCAGACTGTCTGCTGTTTCCCAGAGGGCTCAGTGACTCACAGGCTACTGTATATTCACAGAGGACACCGGCACTCATCACACAGCCTGTTTGCTCTGCGGAAGTAACATCACCTTATCTGCTCCTTCTCCGAGTACCGATACAACACAGATGCTCCTTTGTTTTACAGTAAGAAAATGTGTATAATGGAACCTCCCTGCAAGGATCTGAAGAGGATAATCTAATGTGAGGTATAACATGAAGAGACAGTAACTGCGATACTTGACTGGTAGAAACAAATAACTCAATATTCATATTTATATCCAAGACGGTTTATAAAACTATGTTTTTGTAGTATAATGCGATATAAAACACTTTCAATGTAGTTTTTAGATATATTATGATATAAGTATCAATCAGCTTTTTGAAATAAATGAGGTCAGTGCAGCAAATAAACAAAGCAAAGAACTCTATTTGACGCCTCTCAGTCTTCTATAGGGTCAGAAATCTATTTGACATGTAGCAAGGTAAAAAACAGCATAACGTGGATGTTCATCATCATTTAACCTCTTGCTTCAGTAAATTTACTGCACCTTCAGTCACTGTGTGTGCGATCTATTTTTTTCTGGTGTGCTGCGTGTAATCTGGTTCGTCTACACCACTTCTCTCATTAGCGTGATGTTCTTTCAGTGAGGAGCTCAGCTGGGTTTGTCTTCCATATCTTGCTTCTGGTGTTTTGGGTTTATGGTGGCGGATAGTGGAAGGAGAATGAAAACAGACAGAACAAAATCAGATATAAAACACTTTGATCCACTGGCAGATCACGGAGCTGTGTTTGGAGAATCCTCAGTAGACATCACATGGCTGGCTTTTTGTTTTCACACACGGGCGCACATACCGTCTTCATCATCGAACGCCAGTTTGAGGCCTGACTTATGAACATGCAGGAATGTCTGCTCTGGTTGGTTGCGACTGAAGGAGAAAACTGCAGAGAGAGTAAAAACAATGAGCACCTGTGATTTATTTAAATGTGAAAAGACACACTCAAGGAATCAGAAGCAAAGAGGTGAGCTGGACAGAGTTAGACATGTGTGAGGGAGCTGCAGTGAGAATATTTAGCAGGCCACACGTGTGTGAATAGATGAGAACAAGATGGAGGCGAGTGGGGGGGGAGAGTGGGGTCTGTTTTCTGAGCTTTCCCATGCTTTCAGAGCCACATATTGATCCGATTATCGGGTATGTTAAAGAGGACTGCGTGTAAGAAGAAAGACAGGATGCTGAGTTACAAAACATGTCGAATGAAGACCGACATATGTATTAGATGAAAGGTTTTTGGAAGGGATCACGTATGTGATGTATGCGTGTGAGAAAAACAGGCACACAGAGATGAATATTTGTGGGACGCCGTCCACGTGAGTCCAGCGACAGCTGGACGATGGAGAAAAAAGGAGGAGGGGAGCAATGAGAGGGAGACAGCCAAGGCAGAGCAGGCCAGTTCCCAGGCTCCATCCTCTGGAGAGCCCAGAGGAGAGGAAGCAGGAGGAGGTGGTGGTGGAGGAGGAGGTGGGGGGGGGGGGGGGCAGCTGCACTGATTTGTGCTTGCATGTGCTTCTCCAAAGCTTATCAGAGCAACATGATGCTCTGAAGAAAGCCTGTCTTCATTTAAGACTCGCAGTCATCAATGAACATTACAGCAGCAGCATAGTTGATTAACAATACACAATTAACACCTGAAGGTAAACAAGGTCGCACATGGTGACAAACCCACAGGGAATTTACCACCACTGCACTTCTCTTTAGTTCTACTGAGTGTTTTAGCATCTTTCAGCAGCTTGGTTGTTTTGGTTCAGTGCTGAAATAAAAGCAGCGAGGGCGCTAAAGTCCAGCAGTATGTCAGCACTGATTCATTAGTCAAGAACTCAGATGATGATTTTGACAGAATCAACCCTTGAATGATGAAACCGTCACAATTAACTGCGAGATCAGCAGACGCGCATTAACACGCTGTCGGGCAGGCGGCTCACTGTGGGGATTTACAGCATCAGTCATGAACGAGGCGAGACATGATTCATGATGCAATGATTGATGACAGAAGTTTGTAGCACACTTTAAACATCAGACGGGTACATCAGGTGACCCTCAGGGCTCGGCTGTTATTCCCAGCTGGCTGCCCTTCTGGCTGCTCTCTTCATGTTTATTATTCTCTTGTCCCTTTCTAAATGTTCTATCTCCCAAGTGATGGCTCCTTTGTATGTTTATTTTCCTCCTCAGGGCTGCGGGGCATCATGTGGAAAATGTGACTGCAGTGGTGTGAAAGGAGCTAAGGTGAGATTTCCATATGGCAGTTTTTTTTCTTCTTTTCTCACACATTTTGACACACAGTTATTTTGCAGTTGATGCGAATAACTTTGTAAGGTGGCGGCGAGCCTTAAAACAGTCAACGTTCTGACTGAGCGGGACGGACGGCCTGGGTGGAAAAGCGGTGTTTGGGGCTCAGTCACGGAGCAGAGAGCAGGACGGGAACAAAGATCAGTTTGAATTGGAGCATGTCCGTGCACACAGCTGGGGGGGGCTCTCGGCTAGTCGAGATGCACAAGTGATGTCACAGGCCCGAACTGTCCGTGAGCCTTTGAGCTGTCGGCCCTCCAGCAGGAATGTTAATCACTGTCCTCAAACATGAGGAGTTCTTATTAACTATCTTTAGCAAAATGTGCTTTTGCTGTTACAATATATTTTCTTCTGTTAGGCACTCGCTTTGAGGCCTTTCTTTGTTTTATTTAAGTCATAACGTTTAAATCACCAAAATAAAAAGGCATGTTGATTCTGGGTAATATTATTTCATTGTCAACAACTCACTAGAAATGTTAATACATTTACGCCCTTAACAAGTTCTGGCTTTGTGGCCACATCCTGATACATCTCTGTAGATCAGTAACAAGTACATTAATGGTACGGGCACCGGGGAAGGAAATATTTCAGTCGCAAGAGATGAGAACGTGCCAGTGGACTGTGGGATAATTGTGTATGTCCTGATCAATTTTTTGATTGGAAATAAAAAATTGAAATAAAAAAATAAATCCGCCTTCGGCTGGTCACAACCAGTGGACATATGCAACGTGCAAATTAGAGGTCACTCGTCACATTGCTTTGTTTTAGGAAATTGGGAACCAGTGCTCTAAAGTTTCTAAACATCTTACTGTGTGAGTGTTCATGTGAATTGTTGGCTGAGTTAAATCAGACGCCTGCAGGGTGTTATCTATCCTCTCCGTGCAACAGTCTGGCCTGTCATGGCTCATTCCTACAGCAACAGTAGCCAAACATCCAGCTCCCCCGACAACAACAGACGTACTCACTGTGCTCAATGGAGCTCGGCCAACCCGCTGAGGATCCTAAGCACTGCTGTGTTTTGAAAAGTTTCTAGAAGGCTCCAAAAAGCCCACGTGAGCTTTATTTCCAGTGACGTAATTTCAGTAAGTTGGACAACAGGAGTTTTTCACGGTAACCCTATCGATGAGTTCCAAATGCTTGAGATCCCGTTTTTCTCCCGGCTGATAGAATACAGATGTGCTGCGGTCAGAGAGTGGAAATGGACACAAAGGGTTTCTCATGCTTGGCAGGTCAGCGGGTCGAGGAGATTAATGGATGATGTTCTTTCAAGCAGGAATGCTGCCCTCTAGTGGACTGAAGTGGAAATAACATCCAGCAGTTTGAGGTCACTGCAGGCACTAATAGAATTTATTTTGACCAATAGTATTTTTTTATTGTTTTGTTTTTTAATATTGTCCACTTAACAATTGTTTTCATTATGAAGTCAGATGCAATTAAGTCTTAGAACAAAAAAGTGCTAATCATTAGCTTTTTGGCACTGGATTGATAATTGGCAGAGTTCGCTATGTTAAAGAGCTAGAGTTAGGGTCGTCGTGGCACAGGGGTTAGAGAAGGTGTGCTGGGAAGCACAAGGTTAGTGGTTTGATTCCAGGCTGCCCCATGTTCCATGTCGAAGTGTCCCTGAGCAAGACACCTAACCCCTAATTGCTCCCTGGGCAAAAATGTGAAAAAGCCATGGGTTTAAAGTGTAATGTAAGTCGCTTTGGATAAAAGCGTCTGCTAAATGACCTGTAATGTAAAGACATACAGACAAGAACATTTATAAAGACAACATTTGTTATAATGTTGTTACAACAAATTATACCAGTACAGTGAATCAGAGAACGAAGTACTTAAGTAATTGCAGAGTTACTGTTACCCCCATTTAATTTGCTTTCCCCATGATATTTCTCTGCAATAAACTATTCCTTCTAATCTCAGTAAATAGGAATATTTTTATCCTCACATCATTATCCTGTGCTTCACAGGGTGAGCGTGGATTTCCTGGTCTTCAAGGTAATATGGGTTTTCCAGGGATGCAGGGACATGAAGGTCCTGCAGGACCAATGGGCTCCACGGTCAGTACACACACACACACACACACATCAAAATGAATAAAGCTGCACTGTTTTTTGTCTCTTTGTCAATACTTATATCATTGTTTTAAACTGATTTCATACATAAATCAGCTACAAAGATCATAACACGTGTTTCTGTGTTGGGACGATGCTGATGTCGTTTGTTTCTCGTAGGGAGATCTGGGTGACACCGGAGCTGCTGGACTGAAAGGAGTGCGAGTAAGTGACCAACCGTCCTAATTATGACACACGCTACAATGTGATGTGACAGACAGGTGGCGTCTTGAGACAGTAACACTGATCTCTCGTCTTCCAGGGTCCTCCTGGTCTGCCAGGTTTTCCGGGAAATCCAGGACTACCAGTGAGTGTCTCTGATCCGCATCTCATCCTTCAGTGTCTAGTTACATTTACAAAAACAATGTTGACATATGCATATGGTCTATTTGTGTTCTCCCCCATAGGGAATCAATGGAAATGATGGACCACCAGGTTTGCACGGTATCCCAGGGTGCAATGGGACTAAAGTAAGCCCCTTCTAAAAGTGTTATTCTGTTTTAAGTGGGATTTGTTCACTGTTTGTGCCTTCTGACTGGTGTGCGTGTGTGTGTGTGTGTGTGTGTGTGTGTTCACGTTTCAGGGCGAAAGAGGGAGGGATGGCACTCCTGGTTTTCCTGGGATTCAAGGACCTCCCGTAAGTAACCACAAGGCAACCGACCGGCACACATTTCAGCCACTGTCCAGTGGAAAGAATATCAATTAACATTGTTAATATTGTTAATATTCTTCTTTCCTCTCAGGGCATCTCTGGAATTCCTGGAATGAAGGTCAGCTCAAGTTGATGCAACGCCATCATTTTTGTGCAAGAAACATGTTGATTAGACATTGTTTTACCGAACCCTTTTTCTTGTTTTGTGTCCTACAGGGCGACCCTGGAGGTGTGATCGGGTTTGTTCCCATGAAAGGAGACAGAGGATTCCCTGGCACACCTGGATTACCTGTGCGTTGTGTGTGAAAAAGAGACAATCTAAGACTGATAGTATTCTGAATTTTCATGAAAATTCTTCCCAAACATGTAATTCTCTCATAGGGATCAAGTGGAGCTTATGGACCCACTGGACCTCCAGGACCTCGAGGCTATCAAGGACCCAAAGTGAGTCACTCCTACACGGATGGACAGTTTGTCATCTTTAAGTCAGTAATAGACCTTATGAGATATGGAATATTTGTTATACAGAGACACACAATAACCATTGAATAAACCACCATCTGTGCTGGAAAGCAAAGCATCATAATCTGCGTAGATGTTTGAATCTGTTGGAAGACTTGTTGATCTGTGAAACACAGTACCGATATCATCAGTTTGTTTAACGGAATAACCATTTGACAGGGTGATCCTGGTTTCCCAGGCCCCCCCGGAGAAATGGTAAGACTTGTCATCTATGAGGGTTTTCCTATTGTAAGCCAAAACTGACAATTTTCTGACTTTATCATACAGCTAAGATGTGAGAGCATTTTTTTCGGTTTTCCTCCTTGCAGGCCGACAAGCTGTCCTTTGAGAGCGAGAAAGGAGATAAGGTGAGAATTTTAGTTTTATATATACGTTGTTTGCAAAAATGTTACAACTAGAGGAAGCAGTAGCACTTAACAGGTAAATGATGAAATGGTAAGAATGGGTTAATAGATTTTTTCATATCGTGTGTTTGCAGCTGAGCAAATGAAATAAAGTTTTGATGGTATTATCTTATCTTACATATAATTAGTCAGTTTCTCATTAAAAAAAGGAAATTACTTTGCACTAGATGACTGCTTTTTTGATTACAAAAGTGACAAATTGTTAACACATTGTTCTTTTGACCGTGCATTTGCTTGGGGAAGTTGTTGTGATCATTGTGGTCTTCACACAGGGGGAACGAGGCTTCCGGGGCCCGCCCGGCCCTCCTGGTCCCACGCTTGAAGGAACTGGAGGAATAATCACAGTGCAGGTACCTGGACCGCTATTTTGGGCTATTAATGAATCACAAATGCTAAATGTATTTATATGTGTACGATGTTTTGGATTATTTGTTATTTCCTGAATCTGTTTTGTTTTTTTATTCATAAAGGGTGAGAAAGGACCTCCAGGGGATAAAGGAGACAAAGTTAGTATTTCCCCTCAAATGTTGAGGTTTATGACTTACAGTAGATTACGTTGCACACTGTTTGCTATACTACACCTGATTTCCTTTGCAGGGCACCTGCAAGTCCGATCTAGTTGGTCCCAAAGGGGAAATCGGTCCTAGTGGAGGAAGAGTAAGTGATACAATTTGTCTCTATAGGATGGTACATTAAACAAAGAAAGCAAAACTAATACAAGTGAGTGTTTCTGTATTTTCAGGGTAAACCTGGCAAGGATGGAGACGCAGGGCCAAAGGTAACAATCATTTGCTGTCACATTCACTTGCTATATTCTACTTCCAAAATGGTTTTTGCTCTAATCTTTTGAAATAAGTGACTGCTAAAGTACGTAATACTTTCATACAGGGAGACAAAGGCTTCTCTGGATCAATTGGATACCCTGGTTCTCAGGTAACTAATGCACCTTTCATTTACTCTGCACATACTCAAACCTTAAATCTAAAGCCTCTTGGAGGTGTTATGGTCAGACAGACTAAACTCTCTGTCTTGTTTTAGGGTGAAAAGGGAGAAAGGGGACCTCCAGGTCATGTAAGTAATTCCTATCGTTCCTATTTATTTCTCTTGTATCCTCTCACTCTCTTTCAAATCAACTACAAACACAAGAATGTTTTCTGAAAACCTACAGACGGATATAATTACATGTTAATTTTACTGTTGGGTAGTGAAATTGCGTCCAATTACATCACTTCCCCACAAATTACTTTCAGCACAAAACCTACAGTTACACCCAAATGACATATATCGTGCATAGTATAGTTTTTAAATTCTGTATTATTGTCAAGTTTATTATTTTTTCAAGCTAAAATTATGGAGCAAATTAACATAATGAAATAGGATTCTCAAATATACATACCTGGCAGTGTGGAGAAGTTGGTAATATTTACCTGTTGGGAGGTGTATTTTTAATAAGACATTGAGCAATCTGGACTCTTTATTTATTTTAAACATCTTTGGATGAGCATAAAGAATATGCATTGTGACAGAATGCCTTCAATAGCGAGCAGGGAGGATTTAACAAAAGTACGCCATTGAATTATGTTTCTCATTTGTTGTTGTTAATTTGTAACATTGCTTTAGTGATTTAGAAGTGTACTCCAGGGTTTGGCTGTAAATCCCTGTTTGGAGCGTTTTACGGATGCAGCACAGCACAAAATTGTGTTAATCCGTTAAAAAAAAGAAACTTAAAACATGGAAATGCAATTCTAATTAGCTGAAGTGACCCTTTAAATTAGACATATTGGCAAAATCGCCTCCAGTAGCAAAACGTAGAAGGACTTAATCCTACGAAGATTGAATTCGGGAAGCTGGCGGGTAAGAACTTCATGAGCCAACTCATTTGGATTTAGGTATAAAAAAAAAACTAAAAAAAAGGAAACAAACGAAATCAAGTTCATGCATGCTCAATCTCTGTAATTATATAATTTAAGGGTGATGGTTCTCCTGGTCCTGCCGGTCCTCGTGGTTATCCAGGGTTACAAGGAGAAAAAGGTAAAGTGAGGCCACACTGTGCCACTAAATAGTCATATGCACAAATGCGCAGGTCCCATGATATGATATTTTTTCTCATAATCCAAAGGCTTTCCTGGTCCTCAGGGAGAAGCAGGGCCACCAGGTAAAATTACACAACATTCCAATATTAAATAAGGCCACTGCATTAATGGAGCATTTCAGACCAATGCTAACCTGAACGAAACACACTAACTGGCCTCCTTGACTTGAACTTCAGGCCGCAACTTCGAAGGGCCTCGAGGGGAGAGCGGTCAGAAGGGAAACACTGGTGAGAAAGGAGACAGCGGTTTAGAAGGAGAGTCTCTTGTTGGACCTCCAGGACAACCAGGGACCACTGGATCGCCTGGACCTCCTGGACTACCGAGTATGTGTTAAACTTGAATAATTGAATTTCAACAATTGAAATCAAGGGACGCGTTGATAAATTGTATATCTACAAATGTTTCTAAAACGTGTGTGTGTGACGGATGTATTTTTTATTGTTTTTATTTGACATGGACACACAGTTGAGCCTAATGAATGTAACATCGAGAAAGGAGCTCCTGGCCCACCTGGATCCCCAGGGTTACAAGGGGAATTGGGACAGAAAGGTAAGAACCTCTACAATTTGAATATAATTCATCAAATTAAATTATGGAAATGGTCCTTTTTTATTTTAATGAGTAATAATACATTTGTGTGAATGTAATAATACATGTGTGCGGGCATTATAAACTAACTTCAGCTGGACAAAATGTTAAGAAAATTTAAGTGCTTCATATTCTTTTGAGTGATCGTTCGTGCCTCCTTTTAGGTGATAGAGGAGATACCTGTGTTGAGTGTGAAGCCTTTGGCCCACCTGGATTACCTGGGCCCCAAGGACCAAAAGGAGATCAAGGTGAGCAAAGTTAATTATATTCAAATAAAATAGTGGTGTCTTTACACACAACCATTGGGGCTAAGACCTAAATATGACAGGATCTCTTTCTCTTTCTGCGTAATTCTGACCAAAGCTTTTCAGTGGCGCAAACACAATAGGGATAATATCTTGTTCCACCATTGCATTGACACCAGCTAGATGAATATAGAGTGTGAAGTATGTAATATTGTCCATTTTCACCTGGCAGGACCTCCTGGGCAAGTAGGCGGCAAGGGAGAAAAGGGTGTGTCCGGCTCTTTTGGACAACCTGGAATTCCTGTGAGTAAAATAATGTGTGAAATCATTTGGACAGTTTAAGATGAATCATCTAACAATGTATTCCTCATTTAATTGAGGAAAAAAAAACAATACATATGTTGTACTTGTGTGCAGGGCTCTCCAGGTGTTCCTGGGTTGATTGGGTCACCTGGTGCTGTTGGTGATCCAGGAGATGTTTTCTCAGCTCCTGGTCTGAAGGGGGAAAAAGGTATGCCTGGTCTTTCTGGTACACCAGGTCAGTCAGGACTGGATGGACCGCCAGGGAGAGATGGCCTTCCAGGGATACCCGGCTTCAAAGGAGAACCAGTGAGTGCGTTTGTGGTTTGTTTGAGGGGAACAAACTATCCCAAAATCCGAGAGCATGAGCTCCACCACTCTATAAGTTAGTTTAAGGGTTTATTGTCAGCCCAAACCACAGTTGATTGGAAAACACCTACTTTGATTCCTTTCAGGCCAAAGAAGGCATCAAGGGTGAGCGTGGACCAGATGGGAACCCTGGTTTTAGTGGCCCACCCGGAGAGAGGGGTCCACCTGGCCTTCCAGGATTTGGTCGACCAGGAGAGAGTGGAGAGAAAGGCAGTCAGGGAAGACCAGGCCTTCCTGGAACTCCTGGACCAGCTGGTAGGAATGCAATGTATACAGTAAGAAACCAACAGATACTGGGAAAGAAATCCCCTATATAGTCACTGACACATCTGTAGCTCAGCAAACACAGACTGAATATGAAGCCAGTGATAACATATACCTTGTGTGCATTAGGTACAAAAGGTGAGCCAGGTAAAGGTGTGAGCACTCCTGGACCTCAGGGAGTACCTGGACCACGTGGAGAAACCGGAGTACCTGGACTTCAAGGTAAGCAACAGCATAGTCACCATCTTTTCGTTAAGGGCTCCACAGCAGAGCAGATTATTTAAAATTAGTATCTTGAGGGTTAATGAGTGAACTTCAACTTTGGTTTACTCAACAAAATAACAATAGCGGGGAGGCATAGTATCAGCATGTCATAACAAAAAAAATAAATTAAATGGTCCTGATTTTTAGAGTTCTGGTCCTGTTTACCTTGTAACGTGTTGTTGGTTGCAGGTGACACAGGCCTGCCTGGAGACTTAGGCCAGCCAGGTTTCCCTGGACAGAAAGGTGAACCCGGATCCGCTGGAATTGGATTTCCAGGCCAAACTGGCCCAAAAGGTAAGATACTCCATATTGACCTATTCCCCCTCTATGTTGGTGAATCAAATAAATCTATTGGATACTTGCACATCCGGCCTATCAATTGGATATGGTGCATACATTGTATGTACATAAACGAGGCAAATGTTTAATCCATGTATGTAGGAATCAGTGGAATTCCAGGAGCTCCAGGATTACCTGGAGAGCCTGGAAGACGAGGACAGGATGGCTTGACCGGACAACCTGGTACCCCTGGGCAAAAAGTGTGTATTTCTTTGCATCTGAATGGAATTCAGATAAAACTACAAGAATAATACTAATATTTACTTGTATGTACATTATCATTATTACAAGAGTTTAGTAGCAAATCCGTTTTTATGCTTAAACTCTGCAGGGTGACCCAGGACAGGGTCTTCCAGGCCTAAAAGGTGATCAGGGTCCCCAAGGAATTATTGGCTTCCCTGGAGAGAAGGGTCCTATTGGACTACCCGGTGTTCCTGGAACAGAAGGCAAAACAGGAGTGCCAGGATCTCAAGGAATCAAAGGTACTGTTGGACTGCTTGCTTAGTCACATAGTTAAAAGACCCATAATATGTGCCTTGTACAACTTTGCTTCTCTTTGGTCTTTCAAATAAGGTGACAACGGACCCCCAGGATCTCCTGGACTTGTTGGCCCACCAGGTGATCCAGGTAAAGGTTCCCCTGGGGCTCCTGGACCACAAGGACCCCCTGGAGAGCCAGGACCTTACGGTGAGCAAAAGGTCCAAATGTGTTTTAAAAAACACATCTAGACATGTCCCTGAAGGTAAAGTAATTATTGTACAATACGGTAATAATAATGTAGAATAATATCAGTGATGGCTTGATTCCATTCATTTGCTTCAATGCATAGACACTTGGATTGACAATTCAAATAATCACAGGCAAGGTAATGTTATTGGTAACTCCTGTTACTCCTGTTGTGGTAACAATGTCATATTGAGAAGCAAACTCTCCATTTACCTAATCTGTTGATTGTTATGAAAGTCACTGCAACTCTATTTGTATTTGTGCATGTTGAACAGGTAGGGACGGTGTTAAGGGAGAAAAGGGTTACCCAGGCCCTCCTGGCCTCGACATGCCAGGGCCTCAGGGAGAGAAGGGAACCCCGGGGTTCCCAGGAAACCCAGGTTCTAAAGGACTAACAGGGCCACCAGGCTTCCCTGGAAGTGACGGACTCACTGGAAACCAAGGTGAGACCGACTGATGTGTGTGTGTTTTTTTTGTGTATGTACTTTGTAGTTGCAATCAAATAATGAGTTTGTAATTTTTTTTATCATGCTTTTACAAATGATGAAGTAATTTAATGCATATCGTGTTCCGTGTAGGATATTGTCAATGAAACCCAACAATTCCTGTACATGTTTCACATTTAAACCCATCCACCCAAAAGTACCAATTATGCCCTTGAGGTTTTGTGAAATATCATTGCAGAAAGTGCTTGAGATTAGTTTATTGACAAAATGGAAGACGCCATGAGTACAATATTTATGTTAAAAACAGAAACTCAGAATGACATGACTTTGTTCGATAACATTGAATACTTTGTCCTGATTTATTTAAATAAGGAAAGAATGTTTTAAAACATCTTCATCCTTGTTGCAGTCGAGGTACTGCAGAATTTACTTTCTGTCTTCATCTGCCCTTGCATAGGCAAATCACTCTTGACACTGGCAGTAATGTATGATGTTGAGTACTTGTCCTATTGTTCCATTTGAAATGAGGAGCATGGGGACACAAAGAATTTTAACAATTTCTGTCCAGTGGTGGAGGAAGGATGCATGGGATGTATGTGTTGGAAAACTGAATTCAGTTATCCAACACATACAATGAATGAGAGGTAACCCATTTAAACCCATTTCATTTCATTATGTGTGTGTGTGTTTGTGTGTTTGTTTACCAGGTGTGAAAGGTGAAATGGGTGTCATGGGGACACCGGGACAGCAAGGATTGCCTGGACTACATGGTACACCTGGATCTCCTGGATTCAGAGGTGAGGAAAACCAACGATGAAAACTAACTATAGTTCTTTCTTCAGCCCAGTTTCAGTAGTTTTTTTTTACATTTATTTGCAGCATTAACAATTTGTATTTCCCACCGTCTCTTGTAGGTAATCCCGGTATTACTGGACCTAGAGGGGATATTGGAGAGCCTGGAGCTAGAGGAATAAGGGGAGACCAAGGTATTCAGGGGCCTCCTGGGAACATGAGCGGCGTTGACATGGAGCACCTGAAGGGGGAAAAGGGAGACATTGGAGACAAAGGTACATAATAAATCAATAAGAGTAAATGGTTGATTTACTTGAAACATGGTCATTGGGGATTCTATTTATTGACCCGTAGTTTAAGAAATAGCGGTTTTTATTTTGTGGTATTGTTATTTTCAGTAATTGGAATTATACTTAATTCCATTTTCCTCATCAGGTTTATCTGGGTCTACTGGATCGAAGGGCCATCGTGGACTTCCTGGTGATCCTGGAGGGGCAGGCAAAGATGGGGAGCCTGGATCACCTGGACAACCAGGTGAAGACATGACCACCTGAACTGCAACCTAAAATGAGTTAAATTTCTTCATAGGATATCTAAATCAAATAGATTCCATGTGGTAATCCTTCCTGTGCTTTCCTATTACTTTAATATAACCGTTTTCAGTGAATTATCTGCACTGGCTTAATTACACGATGAAAATGGAGGGGAAATAACGTACATATTAATCCAGGTGAGAAAGGAGACCTTGGTTTTCCCGGGGAACCTGGCAGGATGGGACCAACTGGTCAGAAAGGCAGTGTCGGAGAGATGGGAATACCAGGTAAGATCAAACATAACACAACACACAACAAATGATTCATGAAAAGTGTTACAAAGAAAGAGAGACGTGTAACATTTTGTATTGAGGAAACGTCAAGTCGGGGAACCTACATTTGCCATTTAATTGCATTTATTGTGCGTCTGTGTGTGTGAGTGCAGGTGTGATTGGTCCAAAGGGTAGTAAAGGAGATATTGGTACATCGGGACATCCTGGATTCAGAGGCACGGACGGACAGAAAGGTGACAAGGGAGTACCTGGTGATCCAGGTATTGGGCTCCCAGGACATCCAGGAGAAAAGGTAATCCATTTGCCACATCATTCTTATTGTCAGGGATAGGTGGAGGAGGCAGGACTCAAACGCAGAAAGCAAAAAGCCAAGGGGCAAAAATACACAGGAACCAGGGGAAAACCAGCAGGCAGGAAACTACAAACATCCACAACGAAAACACAAGGACATGCATGGCAAAAGACAATGACGCGACAAGTGACAACAGACACACATGGCTTAAATACACTAGGGAGGTGCAGGTGATTGGACACAGGTGGAAACTATTAGACGATCACAGGGGATGATGGGACAAGGCAGGAAGTGAAGTTACCCGGGGACACGAGTGGCAGAAAACTACAAAATATATCAGGAAGTGAACCACACCGTGACACTTATTTTCTCTGTAAAAAAAAGAAGAGCCTGGCTCATACAGAATATTTAATAAGTTAAATAATCAGTAGAAAATATAAAAAAAAAACATCTGGCAAAACCCAAATATTCACGAGAGGTTCGCATTTAAAATATAGAATTTTAATAATAATAATAATAATTTTAATAAATCATGTAAATTGTACACTAACAGACTGGGAAACAGGAACATTTTTGCCAGTTTTAATATCTCATAAACTTTGTTTCCACATTCATCTGGTTCCTCTGAACAGTCTTCAGCACCTACCGGTGTTTACTGTACTGTCATCCCCTTCTCTCGCAGGGTCCAGCGGGCCAGCCAGGCTTCCCAGGATCACCGGGAGAGAGGGGGCTGAAGGGTCACGAGGGAATGCCCGGCCAGCCAGGCCTGCAAGGATCCAAAGGAGAAAAAGGACTCATTGGTTATACAGGTCAGATCTCATGTTACACGTTAACATGTGCCTGGATACATGTTATTTCGTGTGAGTGCTCATTGAGCTGTATGTGTGTCGTACAGGTCAGTCAGGCAGACCAGGTGAGAAGGGAACCCCAGGACTGCCAGGGTCTGCGGGAGAAACTGGCCGTGACGGTCGGCCTGGTAAGTAAAACAATCCTTTACTCGGCCGGTCAAACACATGGCCACATATCAATTATTTTATTCATTCTTTCCTAGGTTTTGATACACAATTTATTCCACAAAGACAGACGTGATCTGGGAAGATCAGTTTTTGTTCAACGCGTTTTTCTCTGTTAAAACCCCAATGAGGCCTTTGCCATCCTGGTAAATAGTAACAAAATATCAAATTGTTCTCCTGCAGGTGAAGGAGGCTTGCAGGGACCGCCCGGTGTTTCCGGAGAGAAGGGAAATCCTGGAGTGGATGGTATCCCTGGGTCCTCAGGGGAGAAAGGAGACCCAGGTTAGTGTCAGAGGAGTTAGGAGGAGACTACATGGCAAACGTTTGTTTGTTGATAAGCTGTCACGCCACATTGAACCATAAACCTCTTAACCTAGGATATTCTACTAAAGTAAAACTTGCTCGGGACCCGTTAATTAACCTTCACCCAGACTCTCCTAACCACCATTCACACATTTTACTGGAAGACAAAGTCTTGTTTGAGTAGTCAAACAGCCCATAAGATAAAATCAGGGCTTAGCAGAGCCAAATAAAGTGAAAAGTAATGATGGTTGCCACTTGGCAGGTGGAGGTATTTTTCACAGCGGCCACAATATCTTCAGACCTATCATCCAAAAATGACATGGAATGCCTGTAATGTACTTTCTCTGTGTCCCCCAGGTTTAGCTGGACGAGGTTTCCCTGGACAACCCGGTGTGCTTGGTGGCAAAGGTGAGCGCCCTTCCCACCTGCATTTATACAATCCCAAAGTCACAAACCGAGTTTCATCTGGCAGCATTTCCCTCTCCCTCTCCAGGTGACAAAGGTAGTCCTGGCTTCCCTGGAACTCCAGGTCATCCTGGTGTCCCTGGTATCAAAGGTGACAAGGGACTTTCAGGCCTAATTGGACCCCAGGGTGAGACAGGAGAGAGGGGGTTGACAGGTATCTCTCTGGAGGGCCCTAAGGGAGAGAAGGGAGAGGCCGGAGAAGCCGGAGAATCAGGTACGCCATATACATGAAGTTATGAATGAGGACCTGATGCTAAAAAAATATAGAGCCACAAGGCAAAAATACAAATACATTATGTCTAAAGTATGTGTTATTCTTCTCTTTATCAAACAGGGTCCTCAGGAGGACCAGGACCCTCGGGTGTGCCAGGTAGAGACGGCCAAAAGGGAGACAAGGGAGACCAGGGCCCCGCTGGTTTCCAGGGAGAGTCGGGACATAAGGGTGACCCTGGAGTTACTGGACATTCTGTACGTCACTAGGCTGTTTTCCATCACTCAGTATTTATACTATACGTTATATGCTAGTTCATATGCAGGCCAGTGCTGCTTTAATGCTATTTGGTTTTGTGTGTGTCTGTGTGTGTATTACAGGGACAACCTGGCCTTCCAGGTATCGATGGACAGAAGGGAGAAAGGGGACTGCAGGGTGTCCCTGGCTTCCCAGGTAATTACATAATAGAGTCTGGTCAATGCCCGCGTATGTTTGTGTGTGTGTATCGGCGTGTTTGCGGATTTTCCCAAAAGCATGTGTTTTTACAGAAATATGGCCAGAAGGAAATGTTTTCGTTTCCATTATTGACCATTAAAACACTCTATTTTTGTAACTCTAGGTACAAGAGGTAATTTTGGTGACATTGGATTCAAAGGAGAAGTTGGAGACAGAGGATTCTCAGGAGAAACGGGTAAACATGGATGGGAAACCCTCCCATTTTGTTGTTTTATTATTCAACACAACATCTTACTTAATATAATTATTTCAAAATAAAATACAGTCAATACTCACACATTCGCATGGTAAACTTAGAACACGACCTATCAACTGCTAAAAACATGTGGAAAATGTTGTCTAAAGAGACATACGTATATTTTAGGCAACGATGGACCTCCCGGTCCCCCCGGCCACACCATTTACATCAAAGGAGATATCGGGTTCCCAGGGAAAGAAGGCTTACCAGGTCCCCAGGGGCCATCTGGGCTTCCTGGGCAGAAAGGACAGCAAGGTGACATTTTCCCTAACATTGTGCAAAATGCTCTTCAACTCACTCCCGCATCCAATTTTTTCATTGCTTCAGCATTAGTGTTATTTTCTTCAAGGTATGACAGGCATTTCGGGCCCTAAAGGGGACGATGGCGTCCCTGGATACCACGGTCAGTCTGGATCCAAAGGAGAGCCTGGCCTGCCAGGGCCACAGGGTGAGCGGCGTACATGGACGAAAGGTTACAGAAAGATAAGAACGTCTATGTTGTTCTTGTCGTTACTCCTCAACCACTCTGTCTTTTTTAGGACCCAGAGGACACCCCGGCCCCACAGGACCTGACGGTGTCCCGGGTCAAGTGGGTCACCCCGGCCCCTCGTCCATGGATCACGGATTCCTGGTGACCCGCCACAGCCAAGCGCTGGACGTTCCCGTCTGTCCGCAGGGAACCTCGCTCCTGTATGATGGCTACTCGTTGCTCTACGTTCAAGGCAACGAACGCTCCCACGGACAGGACTTGGGTGAGAAGTAATAAAGCATAAAAAGACAAAATGGGGGAAAAAGCATTTGCGGCTTTAGTTCCATGTCTCCCTTCTCTGTGTTTTAGGTACCGCGGGCAGCTGTCTAAGGAAGTTCAGCCCCATGCCCTTCCTGTTCTGTAACATCAACAACGTGTGCAACTTTGCATCTCGTAACGACTACTCCTACTGGCTCACCTCCCCTGAGCCCATGCCCATGAGCATGGCACCCATCACTGGTGAAGGCATCAAACCCTTCATCAGCAGGTACCTGCGCATTTCTGTGTGCACTGTTCTGTTTTAGGTATTCATGATGCTCATTTGACCCGCTCCTCGCCTACGTGTGTGTGTGTGTGGACAGGTGTGCAGTGTGTGAAGCTCCAGCCATGGTGATGGCCATTCACAGTCAGACCATCAGGCTCCCAGAATGCCCTCGCGGCTGGGATGCTCTCTGGATTGGCTACTCCTTTGTCATGGTGAGACAAACCAGATCAGGTTCAAGAAGGCATTTGTTTCTCTCCAGCATTGAGTTGATAGACGGTGATTAAAAAAAAGGATTATTTTCCGTGACAACGTCAAGAGGAAGAGCAGACAGCTAATATAACTCAGAGTTGAATGAACTAATTACCGCATGCTGTAATGTCAAGTACAGATAGCGTGTCTTACCTTAGGACACACCCACCCCGATCTGCACAACTCTCCCATTTATCCCACCCTCTCTAGCAATGGCAGTACCATCATATTAATTCACACATACACAGTGCATCTGTCATTACTGAGTCGGTGGAAGAAAATCTCCTTTGAGTAACTCTTTTTATAGGGACAACTTTCAGACATTGATCAAAAACTCTCTTTGCGATATGCTGAATTTGACTTATGAGCATTTCTCACTGTGTGTGTGTGTGTGTGTGTGTATAGCACACCAGTGCTGGTGCTGAGGGCTCCGGTCAGGCTCTGGCCTCCCCTGGATCCTGCCTGGAGGAATTCCGCAGTGCTCCATTCATCGAGTGTCACGGCCGTGGGACCTGCAACTACTACGCCAACTCCTACAGCTTCTGGCTTGCCACCATTGAAGACAGTGAGATGTTTAGGTGAGACAGAAAAAGTCAGACATTGTATTTCTTGAATCCCCCCACTACATTAAAGAGTAGTGGGGTAGTAGTGCTATTTATCAATATTACGGTTTTGGTAGTATTGAAGTAGTATAGATATCAGCCGTTAAAATGTAGGCCCTCCCTCAAATAGGTCCGCTTCCTCTTTCTCACCTGTTGCTGTTCAAACCACCAGAAGATGTATTTGTAAAATTCAACAGCGATGTCGCTCTCCAGAAATCATGACCCAGTTAACATCGTTGTCAGCAGTGTTATGTTGGTACAAATTCTTTCAAACAATAATTTCTGCATGAAATGAAATTGATTGATTGAGAGGAGACGTATGTCTTCCTTGTTTCGGGATGTTTTTGTGTCATCTTTACAGCAGAGCTGCTGTTGAAACACTTATATATATTATATATATATATATATATATATATATATATATATATATTATATATTATGAGCTTGGTAATAATGATAATATATGATTCGGACTTTGAATGTTTTTTCTTTGCACCTCTTTCCAGGAAACCTGTCCCTTCGACGCTCAAAGCCGGCAACCTCCGATCAAACGTAAGCCGTTGTACTGTGTGTATGAAGAGGACATAAACCCCCAAACTCCAGAGTCCTCCTTCCTAACATGCGAGCAGAAAAGTGTGCGCTGACGACCCCGACCTGGCTTGCTGTCTTCAAACGATGGTGCTATTTCCCTGCGTGTGTGAGAGCGGAGGGACAGAGATGTGCTTTGCAAAACAGCCGGAGACTAAACACTACAAACAGAAACCGAGTGACTTTTGCTGCATACAGAACACGACATGATCACAACAAGTCTGTAAAGAATCGCACCCAGTTTGCCACTGCACTGAGGACACGCCCCCTAAACTGGTAAACTGGTGTTCATATTGTGTTGAGTTAGGTGCTATACAATCTTACTTATCGGCCGTTCTTTTTTTCTTCTTTCTCCTTCCAATGTCCCAGCATTCAAAGATATAGCCTCATTTTATTCTATATTTTAGCTTGTTTATACATACTAATGAACAGGATGGGACCTACCACTGGTTACGCACGCTTGCCATTCGTTAAATCACCGCAATGTTGCCGACACACATACATACTTATCACTGTGTTGTAAATATAATGCATTCCTCTCTAACATAGTCCAACATACTCTCCTCAGGTTATTATTGAAATACTTTGTGTGTTATTAAGTCCATTTTTATTTATAAGATTTATGAGAATATGTTGGACTTAAGTGTACCTGAGATTCCATTGATCCAAAAACAGTGTATCAACGTCTGACCATCAGCGCCTTACTAACAAACAAAACAGCATTGAACGAGCATCGGTGCTGTGTGTGTGTGTGTGTGTGGGATTGTGTGAATGTACATGTATTAATGGAATTGAGCTGCTTGCAGGTGATACGTGTTTTGCGTTGTCTGCATGTATATTGTTGCACAACCCCGTCCTTGACATAACAGACGCACCAAAAGAACCAAAAAAAAGAAATCCTGTACCTTTGCTCGGTCGGAACGTTGTGTTAAATTGCTTGTGTGTCTGATCCCAAAGAAATGCACGTGTATATATACTTACACATAACACCTACCTTGCTCTTTTTTGAATTACTTTTGTTATCTTGGTTGATTTAACTCTAAAGAGTGAGGGATGATTGATGATTAGTCAAACCCAGACGGACGAGGAGGATTGTATTTATAAGTGTGTGTGCAGGTTGACATGCTTTAAAAGGTCTCAACATACGATTGGGTTTTATTAATCCGTTAATATACAGTATTTGGAGATTGTGAGTCTCGGTCAGCAGGCGGAAGGCCCTTTGGACACCAGACGTCCCATTCAGAGCTACTTTAGCAAGCAAGCTATTTCTTGTGTTTAAGCTTCAGCACTGACCGTAACCTGTATTTGTTTGCATTGCTTGGTTGTGATGAAATGCTCCACGAGTACATACAGTATCAGTAGTGTTAACAGACCTGATTATTCTGGCGAATAATCTCACACACAGAACAAAAAGTCATTCGTAAACACCTTATATTTTCCAGATTCTATACTGTGTACTCCCTGCAATAAAATGATTTGTAGAATTTTCTTCTTAATTAATGAGAGGTGATATTTTTCATTTCGGCTTGTTGGTTTCAAATGTTTTTAAATGTGTGGTAAGGATACAGTACTCTGCACCGGCCACGAGAGGGCAGCACCAGCACACGTTGTGGGTGAGTTGCTGATCCGTTCAAGTGGTTCACAGGCTCTCTCTCCTTTTTATGGGGGGATTTACTGCCACGGGCAAACCTAAACCTCAAATTCTTAAAGCCTAATTTAAGTGCAGGCTCTGCTCCAACACTTCTACAGGCCGGTGCAGCCGATACCTCAGCACTTCTGCCAGGACTGTGGCCAACAAACTCGTTTGCCCCATGACAATTTAAACAGATCGATGCGCTCTGCAGAGAACCAGATAACCTTTCCTTTCATCTCCACTCTCGTCTTTCATCTATTACCGGATTCCTATCCCTTGTTTCCTTCTTTTTTTCACCAGACAGACAGTCCTTGACCCCTTGCTTTCTTAATAAACATGTCCGACAAGGCCTTGACCTCAGACCGGCCATTACAAGATCACTGAAGTGGGACTTATACTGGATAACCAGACAACACCCAAAAGGCCAAAATGTCAAATAACAAATAGAACTGAGAGCAATGGCCTAACGACCGAGATCTACGACATGTAGGGTAAAGGACACACCGGCTCCACGGTTCATGTTAAGGGTAACGTGAAGCACAACAGACAGCATGAGTTTGGGTTTTATTTTTCATCTGTATTTACAGGAATTACAGGGATTTGGTTAGTTTTACATATGATGATGCATCATGGCAATCATAACTGTAAAGACTGTAGTATCGGTATAACAGAATAGATTTCTGGATACACACATACGTGCACAACGTGAGTGCTATGTGACGATCAACGCTGAGCTTTATTCAAAGGGGCTTTAGAGATCAAAACATTAACCTTTAAATATTTTAATCCTATTGGTTGTTTGCTAACAGTGCTAAATTGAGACTTGACTTATGAACTCAAGTTAAGATAATTAGGGATTATGCTGGTTAGATTTTAAGGCAATACGTTTAAGCTTCCGTACATTTCTAGAAGTTCATTAAAACACGTCATACTGCGAATGAGACCCGGACTCGATTCCTGTAACCTAATGTGTTATGTTTTTTAGAATGTGTTCGCGGTACAGTGTAGGAGTGTGCCAGGAGGTCAGTGTGACCCTGACCTTTTTCCTCAGTGGATCAACCTGAGGGGCCAGAACCTCCACAAACCCGAATACGGATTAACTCCCAGCACAGCAATGCGCAATGCAAAAATGAACAGAATTCACACGGGTCAAACACCCTCAAAGTGGAACGGAGGAACCAGTGCTTGCATCGGTCTGGGATAAGAGCTACGGAGGTGAGCACACTGAGGGCTTTAGTGAAACAGCTTTGTCTTTGTTACACAAGGATTGTGTGTTACTACTTTGTGTCTTTTTCACACCAAGCAGAATGTGAGGTTGATTTCAGTGGCTACAGCGAGCTGCAGCATTGGAGAGAAACTAATGGCAGAGAACGATGTCTCTTTCTCATCCTCACGACACACACAACATGCTGAAAGGAAGGTGAAATTGTGAACAAAAGTCACTTAGTATTCTGATGTTAATGCGACTGGAGTCAGTGGGGTACGTCACCTGCCAACGGTAGAGCTCATTAATGGGTAGAATAGTCTCAACCAATCACGGTTGGTACATGGACAGTTGCCCATTTGAAGTCTTTAGACTTCGGTTTCATGATTGAATTTTTTAGGTTTCTTTTTTGCATAATTGGTGATGGAAGCAGCTGGATTGGCTGAATCCTTAAATCTCTGAATCTGATTGACAGAAATTCTTCTATTGCATTGCGTATTACTTCATCATGATTTATGTTGCTTAAAATGTAAAAATATACATAAACAACAGCTTGTGGAGGTTTGTGACACCTTGATTTCCGCTCTGTGGAATTGAGCTACAGGCAGTAGTTGTTTTTCTTGTCCCTAACAATCATGTTGTCTTCAACATCGCAAATTGATTGGTCAATTGATTAGTCCCAAATGAAAAAACATTGTTTTAAAAATACACAGCGGTAGTCAGTGGATACAAGCCCGTCACAGTGAGTAGTTATTAATAGAACTTCTTTAGACTGAAGACATTCTTTTTGAGTATGTGGCCTTGAATGATGACTGCAGTGCAGTGATGTTGGGTAACTTATTCGTTAGTCTGCCAGCTCGGAGATAAAAACAACAAAGCTTGATATTGTGGAATTAATTCACGTTAAAAGCAGTAGCTAACAGTTTTAGCATTCGATATACACGTCCTAAACTATCAAATAAAAACATCTCCTAGTTTACCGACCCCCTCACAATGTGTAGTGGTAGCAGCATCATATGGACATAAAGGGTGCAACTGTTTAGTAATGCTTTATAGTGCTTTTTAAAAAAAAATGTAATGAATACATTTGTGGTAAATAGGACTGGATCATTTCCCATGTACAAAGATGACATAATTCCATCTGTACAGTTTGGCTCTCACGTCTGATCACGATCTCAGCGTGATCGGATGTCTGATGCCAAACATGGTGCTCCCTCCTCCTCCGCCTCCTCTTCCTCCGCATTTCCACCCAATGCACAGTACCCACTCAGAAATATGGAAATAGTGTGGTAGTGAATGAATGAGAGGAGACCAGAACGCCTCCACAGCCGAGCGGAGGAGTGAAAAGGAAGAGTGGACGTCACAGTGGCAGAGAGTGCGTGGGGAGAAGAGGAACAGTGGGAGTGAATTTGTGGGAGGCATTCCAGCACAACTGTCTTTTCTCTTACTCTAATAAACGACTCTTCATACTTCCCTCCGTAACTTCCGGTAGATTTATAGGCAAATCAGTACGGAAATGAACGGCAGTACCAGGCAAATTCTTTCATCGCCGCGCCTTGTTTTATAGCAACTCGACAGGGAAGACAATCCAACTAAAAGACACTCAGAACTCAGAAAGAAAAAAGAAACAATGTCAATGGAAAGCTCACAACAAACAATTTTCACACATTATAAAAATCATAAAAACAATTCGACATTCCACTCGAGTTGATTTTTCTCCTCCAACTCTTGGCAATAAAGAAAACAAGCACGTTACTCCAAATGTTACCTTGTTGTATTGAATACTAAAGAAAAAGTGTTTTCAAAGTGATCTTCTGACAGGAAGTAGATATGGACCAAGCTGTTGCCAAGCAACGCTATTCCAAGCATCAAACAGAGTGAATCTAGGTTTATTCAAACACGCTATGAACTAATAAAAAACTAGTTCTTGTTCTTGTTGAAACCCCCAAATAACCTGTGAATGAGCATGAATTGTGTCCTTACAGCTGCAGCAGGAAGAAGCGTTTGAAACAACTATTGTGTTGAGATTGCACAGTTACAGCCTGCCCGAACCTTCTGGACAGTAAGTGCCATCAGATGGTTGCCATTCATGCACCGTCCATGTCTTCAACTGGAAACCAAGAGAGAGAGAGAGAGAGAAAGAGGATGTGTGGAAGAGAATCATAAAATATCAAATGGAGGCAAAACTGCCAAAACTGTGTGAGATTACATCCTGAGCCATTACGACGTGCCTCTAAAAATCTTGCCTGTCAGGATCACACGTGCAGGAATCAAACACTTGCTTCACGTGTGGAAGAAGCAGTGCAGGAATGTGACTATCTGGTCTTCCATAAATGATTTTATCTGCATAGAGCATCTGTTCCCCGACGAGAGCCTTTCAGACAGCGAGAGCGGCCCACGAGTGTGGAAGCATCACTGTTCCTTGGTTGTACACGCCGTTCACGTTTGCAGTGTTAAAGCACGGAAGGGAAAAAAAAAAAAGAAACACGGTACACTTTGTACTTGGTCCGGTCTTCGCACCCCTGAGGAATAGTGATGAGGTACCATTGTAGAAGAGGGTTGTGGGTGTAGTGTGAACGTTTGTAGCGAAGAGTGTGAAGACTCTTGGTTAAAATGACATGTTCAGCGTACAACACAACCTTTCCTTCTTGTAACCGCCCCGAGATATGTCAATAAAAGATGGACATGATTAGTTGAAGATGATCTGTTTTGTAGTGCAAGCAACTACATGGAGGCTGAAACATCTCATCCGTGACCGACCAGTATTCATCACCATGAACCGCACGTTCTGCAGCCTTTATCGTCTTTTCTCACCGTAATGTAAATTACTAACTAATGATTATTAAGCTATATGTTGAGAAGAAACGCACAATTGATTGTGCGTGACACCGCCATCTGTCTTAATGTCACTTCATCGTGTAAAGGGCTGGAAGAGCTCTCGCCTCACTGCACAGTGTACATTGGCTTTGTTTAAAAGGCCATATCGTAACTTAGGTTCTAATTTGCACAGCAGACAAATCTATAACAGCACATCATACTTAGTAAATAACCTTTTACCGTGCTTCATGCTAAATTACCACCGTTAATTTTACAAGCTGGACGCAGGAATCTCTCGCCGACTGAGTGAAGTCATCACTTATAACAAGCGTCATTAACAAATTTGCCCCCACCAAAAAAAAAAAGAATAAATGACAGCAGAAGAAAGCGCCGTGGATGCCAACCAACCAGCTACATCTGCTCACACCGAGTGCTCCACAACCAAGCGGATGGTTGGAATGGGTCACATATAAACATTCCCCTTTCATGCATTGTACACAGCCTAAATAGAGCTGCGCATAATCCAGTATGCACGCTGTGAGTTGTGTCCCCGCTTATCTCATGACATTACCTACAATGTTGTTTGCTCTTTTAGAAAAAAGCATTGTTGATTTTCTTAGCAGCTGCTGAATTATTGAACAGAGCCACAATCACACCAGCAGGCCGAGTATTTACAGTACTATTAGGGCTGTTGTGGTGTTAATGGGACCTTCCATTAGCCTCTGTGAAGGCCACAGCAACACCTGCATCAACAAAAACACACGCACAAGCTCACACAAGCTCACACACACAAATGTTGTGACACAGTTGTTGGAGGTGGTGGGGGGGGGCTCATGGGAGCTAGTT